AAAAAACCAAAGCAGAGACAAGACTATGTGTTTACTTTTTTGTGTATTTTTTGCTAGGCAGTGTTGGAGTTGCTCTAAGTTAGTGATGTGATTAATAATGAGTGTGTCTTTGATTGAGTTTTCACAGTAGAAGAAATGAAGGAACATTTATTGAGTCTCAGGCAGTGGGTTGGTCAAGTTTGTATATCACTTTATGATTGCTGCTGTTTTGTATATATCATTAGGATGATTTAGCATAATAAGGACTTTTAATAGATGGTGGCACACATGATGCATATGCATATTGATTGAATTTAAAATCTAAGAAGTGTAACAGTTTTTCAATTGTGGAAATAGTATGGTTAATGTAAAATTTTAGTTTCCATGCTTGGCTCCAAAGTTTGTGAAACCGAATCTGGGTGCAAATGTGATGTGAAAGATAAAAGGAATACTTACATTTTAATTGCAGAAATCCAGTGCATGACTCATTTGTACTTTCTTCATTTGTCCTGCTTTCTATATGGTTGAATGTTTTCTTCAGTGTGTTAAGAATTGGAAAAATCATATCAAATTATATCTCTCAAATCCGTCTATAGCTATAGCAATGTGCAATTTGGAAGGCCAGATGAAACTTGAAAGTAGCGAAAATGGAAAATACTTCGCTCAACAGAGCCACCATAATTAATGTCTTCTTTTTCTAGCAAAAAATGGAACAGTAAAGAGGAGAACATGGCCTTCTCAGGAATGCAACTGTCATGAGAACGTGGCCTTTGGAAAGTGGTTTGTTAAGTTCACTGCTTTATAAGGTTTTGTGTATTACATGTTTACCCCTATGGGTAAAATGCCAAAGTCATTAAATAGTATGGTTTTTTGGTCAACAAAACTACCATGACACAACTTCCAGAAAATGTGGACACCAAGTTGAGGCTTCCCATTATATATTAGTATAGACTGATCCATTTGAAGGTTTTCCCTATACTCAACCTAGTGAAGCCACATTTCAACCACTTTGTCTTGGCTAAAGAAGTCTTTTCTTGAGATCATGTGCTTTCTCACAACTTACATTCATATCTGTTGGTCTATCTCTTGTTCTTAAGGCTTCAACTTCTCCCTCTTAGTGGTGCTGTCCTTGTTATTTGACACAAACATTCAATTCGTGTTAGCCAACCAATCATATATTGTCTTCATTGTGCTCAATTGGACTATATAAGAAGCAAAGGAGGAATATTTAGCAAACTTTATTTTTAGCTGGTGCTAGCTTGAGTTGCGTACCAAAGCACTCGTATTTTCATATTCTTTTCATATTTTTTTGTTTTTCTCCTTTTCTTTTTAGCTCATCAAAATTATGACTATCCTTGTTACATGATTCTATGAGTTTTTAATAATACAGTCTTATGTTGTAATTCTTTCAGTTCGACTGAAAGTATGCAAATATCCAAATATACGAAACTAGTTCAAAGAAGAGTTTTTTGGATTTTAAATTATATGATTTTGAATCATTATTTCAAATATCTCTAGAATTCTAAACCCTTTAATCCAAACACACTCTTAGCTTATTAGAGTGGTTTGTGACTGCATACGCCCCAGGAAAAAGTTTTTTTTGGGCCTCATAGATGTGCTCTTAAAGCTGTCATGGCTTCTGCTGCTTCCACTCAAAACTTAATGTGCAAACCTGTAAGCCATTTTACTTGTTCTTGCAGATTGGATTACTCTGCGCATACGTTATCAAAAAGTTGTACTTTGGCAGGTATGTAAATGCTGGTCTTTTGATTTGCCTCATTTTGTTTCTCTGGAAAATCATGTTTTCATTTTCGCTTTATTTATTAATTTAATTGAGTCTCCAGAGGCAAGTGCTTCTGCATTATTATTATGCGAGTGTCCAAATGAATGAATATAGCCCATTGTCGTGAATCAAATGTACCTCAATGCTACGTTATATTTTACCATTAGTGATAGTGATATATGGTATTCGTGCAATCTTTTGGCATCTTATGTTATCCGTGTTGCTTTGTCATCAAGGATCACCTCAACTCTTTAAAGTTTTGATTTGTTAGATGCATTTCTACTAAATTGGTTTATAAAATAAAATTATTTATATATGAGTTTAGATGTAATTGATAATATATTTATGTTTTCTTTGTTTATTTTCTTTGCAGATTGGTTTTTGATGACGTTCGGAAGTTTACTTGCAAATGAAGATCAACTGTTGAATTTTGTTTCCTGAACGAATACTTAGTTGTAGTTGCAAATCTGTGATACTTAATGGATTATTATTAAGGTTGTTTGATGGATATATTTTGATTTATAAAATAAATTGTTTAGTGAATTTTTTTGTGGAGTGCTGTATAATAGCTAGTGGATTTCTTAGTACAATTAAAAGGCTATTGGGATATGAGCAGGGATATTTGTGAAATAATAATTTAAATTGAATATAAAATATGGAACAAGTTTAGTGATGAATTTGTTTCGTCATTTGTACTTGTTATTATGACAAAGTGATTATTCGTCACCAATAAACTTTTTTTGTGACAAAATTTACTGCAGTTTATATATGAAAGTTTTTATTTATTTTGTTGTTTGGTGACTAAAAATTTCGTCACGTATATATATATTTGTGACGAAATATATTTCGTCACCCATGTATGACTTTTGAAGACGAAAAATTTCGTCACCTTTACATCTTATTGTGACGAAATTATTTCCTCATCAATGATCAACATTTGTGACAAATTTATTCGTCAACTAAAATTATAAATATGGTACTGAATAATTATTTGGTGACGAAAATGAGAATTTTTGGCGACAAAATCTTGTTTTATTGGTGACAAAAAATTTCGTCACTGAACTAATTTCATTGGTGACGAAATTATTTTTCGTCACGTTGGTTTTTAGTGACAAACATTCAATGACGAAACTGGTGACGAAAATATTTCGTCACAAATATCTATAGCTCTTTTGAGACAAAAAAATTCCGTCATTCAAGACCCAATTTGTTGTAGTGGTCCCTTGCACCTTTTTAGTATTTTCCTCCAACTTGAACAGGTTCGTACCTGTTCATATCCAACTGAACAGGTTTTTTACCTGTTCAAGTTTGTCCTAAAAATCCACCAATTCTCCTATAAATAGACAAGTCCTCGATTTGATTTTATACTCAATTTTTTCGTTCTTACTTTTGCTATTGCTCTCTCCATTTTTTTGCATTTATTTTCTGTGAGAAAGAGTATAAACACAAAGTGTGTTCGCTGGACATTTAGTTTGTAGTGCTGCTACTAAGCGTCGATAATTATTTTATTTTGGAGAGATAGACGTCCACATTTTGAAAGCACCCAAGAGAGAACAAATCTGTCTTAAGGAGACAGTGTTGAACAGTGGACTTGATCTAAATTTCTAAGAAAATAATACCGTGAGTGATGAGTTTGCTTTTCTATTTTTATTAATTTTGCTTTTTCAGATTCTGTTTTGTTTTTGTAACAAAATAAGAATCTATTTTCTTTTTGTTTTTTGTTTTTTATGTACAGTTTTTTTATGTATTGTTTTGATTTTTCTAATCAAACAGAATATCTCATTTCTTAATCCATTCTTCGAATACGGTGAAGATTGTCTAATAGTTTTCCTGTGACGAACTGTCGCTAAAAACTAACAATGAGTGGCTTTTTTATAACAACGCTACTAATTATCACACAACCTAATGGACAATAATTTCACATATTGGGACTTGCACATAAGTCTCTTTATTTTTTCATATTTGCTTATTCACATAAACCTTTTTAGTATATACATAATCTATCTAACATAACATTGATTATTTGTAGTTATTAGCATGTATTTAGTTTTAAAACGATATTTTGTTCTTCTTAGTTTATGTTATGTTTAAAATAAAAAAAAAAAAAAAAAAATTTAAAGTTGGGCCTTTGTAGCAAAATAAATAATGAATTTTTAATTTTATTAATTAAACCTTCATTTTTTTATTTATTTTCAATCTAAATCATATATCTATTTTCATCAAGTAAAATTGCCAAAAAAAATATTTTAATGATTAAACTCAATGTAGGTATACATAAAATGTTTAAAATACTGTTTTTTTGTTTAATTTAATGACTAAAATAGTTTTTGTTTCGTCAGTTTTACTTAATGAAAATAAGTAGATGGTTAGATTGAAAGCAAATCGAAATATTAGAGTTTAAATTGATAAAATTAAAAACTCAAAAGTTTATTTTGTTATAATGGTCAAACCCTAGGAATTTTTTTTATATATATCTTTTTTGTAATTTTTCCTTAAAAAAATGTTGAATATTTATTTATTGTTGATTGATTCACTAATTTTTGTTATGGTAGAACTGTGGTTCCAATCCGAGCCAACCCAAACTACATTGGCTTGGGTAATTTTTCCTTAAAAAATGTTGCATATTTATTTATTTATTTTAATCATTTATTATTGATTGATTCACTACTTTTTGGTATAGTGAAACTGTGATTCCAATCTGAACTAACCCAAGCTATATTGGGTTTGGGTTGGTTTGGTTCAGTTCCAATGCATGATTAGTTCGGTTCTCAGTCGAAAAATTTAAAATGACCATAATTAGTTTTATTCTAAATTTTGTTCTAATTCGAACAAAAGCCACCCATACACACTCCTAATCTCTCTACATATCTATTTGACAACAGCTAAAAAAAATTATTTTTTAAAAAAAAAAACTTTTTTCATTTAGCAATTTTTTTTAAAAAAAAAAAAATTGTCAAACTTTTATTTTTTAGCTCAGTTTAGCCTAGATGGATTTAAAAAAATAAATTTTTAAGAATCCAAAAAAGAAAAAAAGATCAGTCTAAATACCAAAACGCAAAAAAGATAACTTCTTGTTTTGTTTTGCTTTAGTGGATTTTAAAATATATATATTTTTGAACTTTTTAAGTTGGTCTAATATAAGCTGGTAAGAATGCAAAAAAAACAAGAGTTCAAGGATTGCTGCATGTTAATGTGTGTTTGATGGCTGAAGAGTTCAACTTGAATGGTATTGTTGTAGATCATTTGACGAATTCACAATGACAAGTTTTGTCTATGAATAGATTATGTATTTCAGTGTTTTAGAATATGGCAGTTGAGAAGAAAGAATAAGAGAGTGAGAGAATATGAGAGTTTGAGATAGGGTTTTTCTCTCGTACGTTATGCCTTTGAGGTAGTGTTTTTCTCCCGTTATGCCTTACTCCCACCAACAATACTATCAAAAGAAAGGAAAATGTAATCTCAATCTAACTAGAAGTGTACAAAATTTAAATACCCAGTAAACTGAAGAACCAAATTAACATGACCTCTTCGGATTGAATTGATTCGATTTAGTTTGATTCTAAGTTTTAAAATTTTCAGTTTGATAAGATTGGATTGAATTTTGATTTAGGCTATGACTCAACTGAATCCAAACACATATATATTATATAAAATTTGGTATGTCTACATATAGAACTAATTAGAATTCATTTCCTACATTCATCTAGTCAACATAGAAACTAAATAATTTATTTAAATTTTTTGACATTGGCTCAATAACAATTAACATAATATGGGTATTTATTGAGATAAATTATCAATAGATTTTAATAGTTGAACTTAATTTCCATTAAATCCTATTTCCTTGTCATTGAAAGTTGGACTTATCAGAATCGTCGCAAAAAATGATTTCTTGTGATGATTTTTTAAATCTGTTGCTAAAAACTGACAATTAATGATGTTTTCTGTGACGATTTTCTAAATATGTCATTAAAAATTAATCGACAAGATGTTTTCCTGTGACGATTGTCTAATTTGTCGCTAAAAATTAACAATGGTCTTGGAAAAAATAGTTTTTTTTCTTAAACTTTGGTCTATTTTTTAAATGGGATCCATGTGTTGAGGTTGGCGGGTATTGGTGGTAACGCGTTCTATGTCGCGTTGTGATTC